CCATAGTAACTATGATGCTCATTATGATGATTTTGATCATATTTAGCATATTAATCATAATAAATAATGGTTGCCATGGCAACTATGATGTCATTATGATGATCTTGATCAAAATTACTATATTAATCATAATAAATTATGGTTGCCATGGCAACTATGATGATCATTATGATGATCTTGATCATAATTAGCATATTAATCATAATAAATGATGGTTGCTATTGCAACCATGATGATCATTATGATGATTTTTATCATAATTAGCATATTAATCATACTAAATGATGGTTACCATGGCAACCATGATGATCATTATGATGATTTTTATCATAATTAGCATATTAATCATACTAAATGATGGTTACCATGGCAACCATGATGATCATTATGATGATTTTTATTATAATTAGCATATTAATCATACTAAATGATGGTTACCATGGCAACCATGATGCTCATTATGATGATTTTGACCATAATTAGCATATTCATCATAATAAATGATGGTTGCCATGGCAACTATGATGATCATTATGATGATCTTGATCATAATTAGCATATTTATCATAATAAATCATGATTGCCATAGTAACTATGGTGCTCATTATGATGATTTTGATCATAATTAGCATATTAATCATAATAAATAATGGTTGCCATGGCAACTATGATGATCATTATGATGATCTTGATCAAAATTACTATATTAATCATAATAAATTATGGTTGCCATTGCAACTATGATGATCATTATGATGATCTTGGTCATAATTAGCATACTAATTATAATAAATGATGGTGCCATAGCTACTATGATAACCATTATGATGATGTTGATCATTATTAGCATATTAATTTTAATAATTAATGGTTGCCATGGCAACCATGATGCTCATTATTATGATTTTGATCATAATTAGCATATTAATCATAATAAATGATGTTCGCCATGTCAACCATGATGATCATTATGATGATCTTGGTCATAATTAGCATATTAATCATAATAAATGATGGTTGCCATGGCAACCATGATGCTTATTATGATGATTTTGATCATAATTATATATTAATTATAATAAATGATGGTTCCCATTGAGACTATGATGGTCATTATGATGATCTTGATAATAATTAGCATATTAATCATAATAAATTATGATTGCTATGGCAACCATGATGATAATTATGATGATTTTGATCATAATTAGCATATTAATTATAATAAATGATGGTTGCCATGGCTACTATGATAACCATTATTATGATGTTGATCATTATTAGCATATTAATCATAATAAATTATGGTTACCATGGCAACCATGATGCTGATTATTATGATTTTGATCATAATTAGCATATTAATCATAATAAATTATGTTCGCCATGTCAACCATGATGATCATTATGATGATCTTGGTCATAATTAGCATATTAATCATTATAAATTATGATTGCTATGGCAACCATATGATCATTATGATGATTTTGATCATAATTAGCATATTAATTATAATAAATGATGGTTGCCAGGGCAACTATGATAATCATTATGATGATGTTGATCATTATTAGCATATTAATCATAATAAATTATGGTTACCATGGCAAGCATGATGCTCATTATGATGATTTTGATCATAATTAGCATATTAATTCATAATAAATTATGGTTGATAAGGGAACTATGTTGACCATTATGATGATCTTGATGATAATCCATATAATATTAATAAATTATAGTTGCCATGGCAACTATGATGATCATTATGATGATCTTGACCATCATTAGCATATTAATCATAATAAATGATGGTTGCCATGGCAACCATGATGATCATTATGATCATTTTGACCATAATTAGCATATTAATCATAATAAATGATATTTGCTATGGCAACTATAATGATCATTATAATGGTCTTGATCATAACTAGCTTATTAATCATAATAAATCATGGTTCCCATGGCATCCATGATGCTCATTATGATGATTTTGATCATAATTAGCATATTAATCATAATTAATTAAGTTGCGATAGCAACTATGATGATGATTATGATGATCTTGGTATAATTAGCATATTAATCATAATAAGATGGTTGCTATGGCAACCATGATGCTCATTATGATGATTTTGATCATAATTAGCATATTAATCATAATAAATAATGGTTGCCATGGCAACTATGATGATCACTATGATGATCTTGATCAAAATTACCATATCATAAAAACTATGGTTGCCATGGCAACTATGATGAGTTATGATGATCTTGATCAAAATTACCATAATAATCATAATAAACTATGGTTGCCATGGCAATATGATCATAATATAATCAATAATAAATGATAGTTGCTATACAACAATGATGCTCATTATGATGATTTTGATCATAATTAGCATATTTTATCATAATAAATGATGGTCACACTAGCAAGCATGATGATCATTATGATGATTTTTATCATAATTAGCATATTATTCATACTAAATGATGGTTACCATGGCAACTATGATGATCATTATGATGATCTTGATCATAATTAGCATATTTATCATAATAAATTATGATTGCCATGGTAACCATGATGCTCATTATGATGATTTTGATCATAATTAGCATATTAATCATAATTAATTATAGTTGCGATAGCAACTATGATGATCATTATGATGATTTTGATCATAATTAGCATATCAATCATAATAAATGATGGTTGCTATAGCAACCATAATCATGGTTTCCATGGCAACCATGATGATCATTATGATCATCTTGATAATAATTAGCATATTACTCATAATAAATAATGGTTGCCATGGCAACCATGATGATCATTATCATAATTTTGACCATAATTAGCATATTAATCATAATAAATGATGGATGCCATCGCAACCATGATGATCATTATGATGATTTTAATCATAATTAGCATATTAATTATAATAAATGATGGTTGCTATGGCAACTATGATGATCATTATGATGATCTTGTTCATAATTAGCATATTAATCATAATAAATGATGGTTGCTATGGCAACCATGATGCTCATTATGATGATTTTGATCATAATTAGCATATTAATCATAATAAATTATGGTTGATATGGCAACTATGTTGACCATTATGATGATCTTGATCATAATTAGCATATTATCATAATAAATAATAGTTGCCATGGCAACTATGATGATCATTACGATGATCTTGATCAAAATTACCATATTATTCATAATAAATGATGGTTGCAATGGCAACTATGATAATCATTATGATGATGTTCATCATTATTAGCATATTAATCATAATAAATTATGGTTACCATGGCAACCATGATGCTCATTATGATGATTTTGATCATAATTAGCATATAATTCATAATAAATGATGGTTGCTATGGCAACTATGATGATCATTATGATGATTTTGATCATAATTAGCATATTATTCATAATAAATGATGGTTGCCATCGCAACTATGATGATCATTATGATGATTTTTATCATAATTAGCATGTTAATCATACTAAATGATGGTTACTATGGCAACCATGATGATCATTATGATGATTTTATCATAATTAGCATATTAATCATACTATATGATGGTTACCATAGCAACCATGATGCTCATTATCATGATTTTTACCATAATTAGCATATTCACCATAATAAATGATGGTTGCCATGGCAACTATGATGATCATTATGATGATCTTGATCATAATTAGCATATTTATTATAATAAATTATGATTGCCATGGTAACTATGATGCTCATTATGATGATTTATTCATAATTAGCATATTAATCATAATAAATTATAGTTGCGATAGCAACCATGATGATCAATATGATGATTTTGATCATAATTAGCATATTAATCATAATAAATTATGGTTGAAAAGGGAACTATGTTGACCATTATGATGATCTTGATGATAATTACCATATTAATCATAATAAATTATGGTTGCCATGGCAACTATGATGATCATTATGATGATCTTGATTATAATTAGCATATTATTCATAATAAATGATGGTTGATAAGGCAACCATGATGCTCATTATGATGATTTTGATCATAATTAGCATATTAATCATAATAAATAATGGTTGCCATGGCAACTATGATGATCACTATGATGATCTTGATCAAAATTACCATATTAATCATAATAAACTATGGTTGCTATGGCAACCATGATGCTCATTATGATGATTTTGATCATAATTAGCATATTAATCATAATAAATAATGGTTGCCATGGCAACTATGATGATCACTATGATGATCTTGATCAAAATTACCATATTAATCATAATAAACTATGGTTGCCTTGGCAACTATGATGATCGTTATGATGATCTTGATCAAAATTACCATATTAATCATAATAAACTATGGTTTTATGGCAACTATGATCATAATATAATCATAATAAATGATAGTTGCTATACAACAATGATGCTCATTATGATGATTTTGATCATAATTAGCATATTTATCATAATAAATGATGGTCACACTAGCAAGCATGATGATCATTATGATGATTTTTATCATAATTAGCATATTAATCATACTAAATGATGGTTACCATGGCAACTATGATGATCATTATGATGATCTTGCTCATAATTAGCATATTTATTATAATAAATTATAATTGCCATGGTAACCATGATGCTCATTATGATGATTTTGATCATAATTAGCATATTAATCAAAATTAATTATAGTTGCGATAGCAACTATGATGATCATTATGATGATTTTGATCATAATTAGCATATCAATCATAATAAATGATGGTTGCTATAGCAACCATAATCATGGTTTCCATGGCAACCATGATGATCATTATGATCATCTTGATAATAATTAGCATATTATTCATAATAAATAATGGTTGCCATGGCAACCATGATGATCTATATGATAATTTTGACCATAATTAGCATATTAATCATAATAAATGATGGATGCAATCGCAACCATGTTCGCAGCTCTACGTTTGTTGGATGAACAATCATGTGGTGGAGTTCTTCCTCTTAATGACGCTGTGTACAAGGACCTCTTGCAGAAACATCCACCTGCACAACCTGAGGATCATTCCGTCATGATTGATGGTGAAATTCCATATGTCGATCCATCGTTATTCGCCAACATCGACGAGGCAGCCATAGCAAAAGCAGCATTGAGGACTCAAGGTGCTGCTGGTCCTTCAGGTCTTGACGCACTTGGATGGCGGCATATTTTGGTGTCTCGCAACTATGGAGATGCTGGCAAAGATCTACGATCCGCAATAGCGTTAATGGCGAGAACACTTGCAACCCAGAAGGTCGTTATTGGAGCAGATCAGACCACCAGCTTAGAGACCTTCTTAGCGTGTCGCTTAATACCTCTGGACAAGAACCCTGGTGTCAGACCGATTGGGATTGGAGAGGTTCTACGACGGATAATTGGAAAATCAATTGTCTTTGCCAAACCACAAATCATGGATAGCGCAGGAGACTTGCAGCTATGTGCAGGACAACAATCAGGCTGCGAGGCTGCTGTTCACGCCATGTCGAAGATTTTTGAAGAAGAAGAAACAGACGCTGTCTTACTGGTAGACGCCACCAATGCGTTCAATTCCATCAACCGCAAGATCATGTTACATAACATTCAGTACATTTGTCCTGCAATGGCTGTTTATACGTTCAATTGTTATGTAACAGCTTCAAGATTGTTCGTGCAAGGTGGTAAAGAAATTGCATCAGCTGAAGGTACCACGCAAGGTGATCCGTTAGCCATGCCGTTATACGCCGTCGCCATTACTCCACTCCTGCTCATGATTAAATCTGGTGAAGCTAGTGATGTAAGGCATGTTGCGTACGCGGATGACCTTAGTGGGGCAGGTAAGCTAATGCAACTGCGTGCCTGGTGGGAGAAGATTGCCGTGCATGGTCCGAGTCTTGGTTACTACCCGCGAGCTGATAAATCCTGGTTGATTGTGAAGCCACACCTGGAGCAGACTGCCATTGAGATCTTCGCTGGAACTAATGTACGAATTTCAAGTGAAGGGCATAAGTACCTTGGAGGATATCTTGGATCGGATGACGGAAAAGATAAGTATATTAGTTCTTTAGTTAGTAAATGGTGCCAGCAACTTCACGTTTTGAGTGAAATTGCCAAATTCCAACCCCAAGCAGCATACACGGCGTTTGTCTCGGGTTTTCGGCACAGATTTACTTACCACATTCGTGCCGTTCCAGGTATCAAGACCGCGATGCAGCTTGTTGACGACACCATCAACCTGAAGCTCCTTCCTGCACTCCTCGATAACCGTAGCTTGTCCATCCATGAGCGACAATTGGTTTCGCTTCCAGCTCGTATGGGAGGTCTTGGTATTCCGATCTTTAACGACATCTGTGATGAAGAACATTTGAACTCCACAACCATCTGTCATCTTCTCTCAAGTAGAATCATCCACCAGAATGGTACACCATCAGCAGAACATGGAGATTCCATCCACGATCTTCGCCGTGAGATTGCAAAACAACGTCAAGCTAGGAACTCGTTGCTGCTACAGAACTTGAGATCGAGCATGAGTGAAGAGCAGATTCGAGCAAATGACCTCGCCCAGTTGAAAGGATCCTCAGCTTGGCTAACTGCTCTGCCACTTGCTGAAGAGGGCTACATCTTGACCAAGCGTGAGTTCTTTGATGCAATCTACATGCGTTATCGATGGCCTTTGAAACGCCTTCCATCTTTCTGCGCTTGTGGAAAATCGTTCACGGTAGATCATGCCCTGTCGTGCCTGAAAGGAGGTTTTATCCATCGAAGACATAATGAGATCCGTGATCTACTTGCTGCTGCTATCGATGACGTTGCTTACGATGTTTCAATTGAACCTGCTCTTGCTCCTTTGACTGGCGAGGTTCTTCCATCCAGTGCTAACTCAGCCGATGACGCCAGAGTGGACATTGCTGCGAGAGGTTTCTGGCAGAGATGTGAAAAGGCATTTTTTGATGTAAGGGTGTTTAACCCATACGCCTCTACACATCGACGCCAGACGTTGAGCAGCTCGTGTAAAGCCAACGAACGGGAAAAGAAGCGACATTACAACCAACGGATTGTTGAGGTCGAGCATGGCTCCTTCACACCGGTCGTCTTCAGCGCCTTTGGCGGATGCGGAAGAGAGACCCAACATTTTCTTTCCTTCCTGGGTGCGAAGCTGGCTGACAAGAAGAATCATTCTACATCTATGGTGGTTAGCTGGTTACGACGAAAGATCGCCTTTGCTTTGCTTAGAGCTCGCGTGGTGTGTGTTCGTGGCAGTCGAAGTTGGAGGACTGCGTCCATCACATCAACTAACGACATTACGTTGTCGGAATGGAACTCCAACATTAGCGAGTAGTCTAGTTAAGTTGTTTTTGTAAATAGTCTGTAGAACTATTATACTTAATTTTATTGCATGATTGATTATTGTAAATTTCATCGCAACCATGATGATCATTATGATGATTTTAATCATAATTAGCATATTAATTATAATAAATGATGGTTGCTATGGCAACTATGATGATCATTATGATGATCTTGTTCATAATTAGCATATTAATCATAATAAATGATGGTTGCTATGGCAACCATGATGCTCATTATGATGATTTTGATCATAATTAGCATATTAATCATAATAAATTATGGTTGATATGGCAACTATGTTGACCATTATGATGATCTTGATCATAATTAGCATATTAATCATAATAAATAATAGTTGCCATGGCAACTATGATGATCATTACGATGATCTTGATCAAAATTACCATATTATTCATAATAAATGATGGTTGCAATGGCAACTATGATAATCATTATGATGATGTTCATCATTATTAGATTATTAATCATAATAAATGATGGTTACCATGGCAACCATGATGATCATTATGATGATTTTGACCATAATTAGAATATTAATCTGAATAAATGATGGTTACCATGACAACTATGATGCTCATTATGATGATTTTGATCATAATTAGCATATTATTCATAATAAATGATGGTTGCTATACCAACCATGATGCTCATTATGATGACTTTGATCGTAATTAGCATATTAATCATAATAATTTTTGGTTGCCATGGCAACCATGATGATCATTATGATGATTTTGATCATAATTAGCATATTAATCATGATAATGATGGTTGCTATGGCAACTATGATGATCATTATGATTATCTTGATCATAATTACCATATTAATCATAATAAATGATGGTTGCCATTACAACTATTATGCTTATTATGATGATTTTGATCATAATTAGCATATTAATAATAATAAATTACGGTTGCGATGGCAACTATGATGATCATTATGATGATCTTGATCATCATTAGCATATTAGTCATAATAAATTATAGTTGCTATGGCAACCATGATGCTCATTATGATGATTTTGATCATAATTAGCATATTAATCACAATAAATTATGGTTGCTATGCAACCATGATGATCATTATGATGATGTTGATCATAATTAGAATATTAATCATAATAAAAGATGATTGTCATCGCAATCATGATGATCATTATGATGATTTTGACCATAATTAGCATATTCATTATAATAAATGATAGTTGCCATGGCAACTATGATGATCATTATGATGATCTTGATCATAATTAGCATATTAATCATAATAAATGATGGTTGCTATAGCAACCATGATGCTCATTATGATGATTTTGATCATAATTAGCATATTAATCATAATAAATTATGGTTGCTATGGCTACCATGATGATCAATATGATGATCTTGATAATATTTAGCATATTAATCATAATAAATCATGGTTGCTATGGCAACCATGATGACCATTATGATGATTCTGACCATAATTAGCATATTAATCAAGATAAATGATGGTTGCCATTACAACAATTATGCTCATTATGATGATTTTGATCATAATTAGCATATTAATAATAATAAATTATGGTTGCCATAGAACTATGATGATCATTGTGATGATCTTGATCATAATTAGCTTATTAATCATAATAAATTATGGTTGCCATAGCAACTATAATGATCATTATGATGATTTTTATCATAATTAGCATATTATTCATAATAAATGATGGTTGCCATGGCAACTATGATGATCATTATGATGATCTTGATCATAATTAGCATGTTAATCATAATAAATGATAGTTGCTATGGCAACCATGATGATCAATATGATGATCTTGATAATAATTAGCATATTAATCATAATAAATGATGGTTGTCATGGCAACTATGATGATCATTATGATGATCTTGATCATAATTAGCATATTAGTCATAATAAAGTATGGTTGCCATGACAACTATGATAATCATTATGATGATTTTGATCATAATTAGCATATTAATCATGATAAATGATGGTTTCCATAACAACTATGATGATCATTATGATGATCTTGATCATAATTACCATATTAATAATAATAAATTAGGGTTACCATGGCAACTATGATGATCATTATGATGATCTTGATAATAATTAGCATAATACTCATCTATAATAATTAATGGTTGCCATGGCAACCATGATGACCATTATGATGATTCTGACCATAATTAGCATATTAATCATCATAAATGATGGTTGCCATGGCAACTATGATGATCATTATGATCATTTTGATCATAATTAGCATATTAATCATAATAAATGATGGTGGCCATGGCAACTATTATGATCATTATGATGATCTTGATCATAATTAGCATATTAATCATAATAAATTATGGTTGCCATAGCAACTATGATGATCATTATGATGACTTTGATCATAATTAGCATATTAATCATAATAAATTATGGTTGCCATGGCAACCATGATGATCATTATGATGATTTTGATCATATTTAGCATATTAATCATGATAAATGATGGTTTCCATGGCAACTATGATGATCATTATGATGATCTTGATCATAATTACCTTATTAATCATAATAAATGATGGTTGCAATGGCAACTATGATGCTCATTATGATGATTTTGATCATAATTAGCATATTATTAATATTAAATGATGGTTACCATTGCAACCATGATGATCATTATGATGACCTTGAAAATAATTAGCATATTAATCATGATAAATGATGGTTGCCATGGCAACTATGATGATCATTTTGATGATCTTGATAATAATTAGCATATTAATCATAGTAAATGATGGTTGCGATTGCAACTATGATGCTCATTATGATGATCTTGATCATAATTAGGATATTATTCATAATAAATAATGGTTACCATGGCAACCAGGATGATCATTATGATGATTTTGACCATAATTAGAATATTAATCTGAATAAATGATGGTTACCATGACAACTATGATGCTCATTATGATGATTTTGATCATAATTAGCATATTATTCATAATAAATGATAGTTGCTATAGCAACCATGATGCTCATTATGATGACTTTGATCGTAATTAGCGTATTAATCATAATAATTTATGGTTGCCATGGCAACTATGATGATCATTATGATGATTTTGATCATAATTAGCATATTAATCATGATAAATGATAGTTGCCATGGCAACTATGATGATCAATATGATGATCTTGATCATAATTACCATACTAATCATAATAAATGGTGGTTGCTATGGCAACTATGATGCTCATTATGATGATTTTGATCATAATTAGCATATTAATCATAATAAATTATGGTTGCCATAGCAACTATGATGATCATTATGATGGTCTTGATCATAATTAGCATATTAATTATAATAAATGATGGTTGCCATCGCAACCATGATGATCATTATGATGATTTTGATCATAATTAGCACATTCATTATAATAAATTATGGTTGCCATAGCAACTATGATGATCATTATGATGATCTTGATCAAAATTACGATATTAATCATAATAAATTATGGTTGCCTTGGCAACTATGATGATCATTATGATGATCTTGATCATAATTACCATATTAAATATACTAAATGATTGTTGCCATGGCAACCATGATCCTCATTATGATGATCTTGATCATTAATAGCATATTAATCATAATAAATGATAGTTGCCATGGCAACTATGATGATCATTATAATGATCTTGATAATAATTAGCATATTAATCATAATAAATTATGATTGCCATTGCAACCATGATGATCATTATGATGATTTTGATCATAATTAGCATATTAATTATAATAAATTATGGTTGCCATGGCAACTATGATGATCATTATGATGATCTTGATCATAATTAGCATATTAATCATAATAAATGACGGTTGCGATGGCAACTATGATGCTCATTATGATGATCTTGATCATAATTACGATATTATTCATAATAAATGATGGTTACCATGGCAACCATGATGATCATTATGATGATTTTTACCATAATTAAAATATTAATCTTAATAAATGATGGTTACCATGACAACTATGATGCTCATTATGATGATTTTGATCATAATTAGCATAATAATCATAATAAATGATGGTTGCCATAGCAACTATGATGATCATTATGATGATCTTGATCATAATTAGCATATTAATCATAATAAATTATGGTTGCTATCGCAACCATCATGATCATTATGATGATTTTGACCATAATTAGCATATTCATCATAGTAAATGGGGGTTGCCATGGCAACTATGATGATCATTATGATGATTTTGATCATAATTAGCATAATAATCATTATAAATGATGGTTGCTATGGCAACCATGATGCTCATTATGATGACTTTGATCATAATTAGCATATTAATCAAAATAAATTATGGTTGCCTTGGCAACCATGATGATCATTATGATGATTTTGATCATAATTAGCATATTAATCTTGATAAATGGTGGTTGCTATGGCAACTATGATGATCATTATAATGATCTTGATCATAATTACCATATTAATCGTAATAAATGATGGTTGCCATGGCATCCATGATGCTCATTACGATGATTTTGATCATAATTAGCATTTTAATAATAATAAATGATGGTTACCATGGCAACCATGATGATCATTATGATGATCTTGATTATAATTAGCATATTACCCATAATAAATAATGGTTGTCATGGCAACCATGATGATCATTATGATTTTTTTGAATATAATTAGCATATTAATCATAATAAATTATGGTTGCCATGGCAACAATGATGATCATTATGATGATCTTCATCATAATTAGCATATTAATCATAATAAATTATGGTTGCCATCGCAACCATGATGATCATTATGATGATTTTGATGGTAGTTAGCATATTCATCATAATAAATGATGGTTCCATTGCAACTATGATGATCATTATGATGATC